CATCAGAGGTGCTCGAGCGACCTCTTCCTCATCCCTCTTCCTCATCTCTCTTCAAAGTCAAGCTTTATTAAAAAATAGTTTTGTTGCTAATTTGATAGGAGAAATATTGATCTCTGATTTTGCTTTCATTTTGCATTTTTTTAGATTATTGATACGGCTGAGCTTTTTTTGTGTTCATTCATATATTGTGGTTCTTTTGTGCCTCCAAATTTCTTTTGTGCATTTTTTACTTTTAAGATTTTAGGGGTTTTCTTTCTTATTAATTTATAAGAGTTTTTTATATTGTAAGGATTTTTGTACGTTGGGACATGTTATGGATATTTTTCCTAGTTTGATACTTGCCTTTTATGTTTGTTTATGACAGTCAAACTTGCTTTTTGTCTTGTGAAGGCAGTACATGCTGTATTTGATTGATTGATTCTGTGGCACTCAGGTTCTTCCACTTTAGCTTCTTTGAAATCAGATGTGATTTATTCTGCATGTGTTCAGCAGTTGCTGTCAGTCGTGTTAGAGTTGTCATCACCTGTGCATGCGACCGTGGTTGTTACTCCTGGTGGCATGGCTGGGCAGCCGTGACTGCAACCCCTGGATGCTTTAGTGCACAATCCATTTAAGGGCCGTTTGAAGAAGGAACACAAATCCCAATTGCTGTTTGTAAATGGTCTGTTGATACCTTCTGATGAGATCAAGAAAGAGCCGGTTTTAAAACTCCAAGAGTGAGGGTCACCGGCTTAGCAGAAAATCTCAGGGAGGATGGTGGTGCTCTCCTAAGAGATGCCACCTTGCCCCTACCCTTGATGCCACAGCAAGTCATATTGCTTATTCTGCATGTGTTCAGCAGTTGCTGTCAGTCGTGTTAGAGTTGTCATCACCTGTGCATGTGACCGTGGTTGTTACTCCTGGTGGCATGGCTGGGCAGCCGTGACTGCAACCCCTGGATGCTTTAGTGCACAATCCATTTAAGGGTTGTTTGAAGAAGGAACACAAATCCCAATTGCTGTTTGTAAATGGTCTGTTGATACCTTCTGATGAGATCAAGAAAGAGCTGGTTTTAAAACTCCAAGAGTGAGGGTCACCGGCTTAGCAGAAAATCTCAGGGAGGATGGTGGCGCTCTCCTAAGAGATGCCACCTTGCCCCTACCCTTGATGCCACAGCAAGTCATATTGCATGGAAACTCACAGACACCCTGAAAGTGAAGACTTCACCAACTTCTTTCACTCACCTTTTCCTTTTTGTGTGTGTGTGAGAGGGAGATATGATAAAAATCTGTTTAAATAAGTCCAAAAGAACTTTTTCAGTAACCACAAATTTAAAATTCTAGGTAATAAAACAAAGTTAATATAATTGGCAGTTAATTTAATGGCTTTCTTGGTGGTACCTCTTACAATTGATGAAATATGTTATATGGTTAGTGTAGAAAATTTAGAAAATATAGATAAATAAATAGCAGAAATCTGAAAGATCATTACTGTTAATATTTTGGTATACATCCCCTAGTAATTCTCTGTGTAATTCAGACACGCACATAGGCATTTAGCACAAATGCTACATGTATTTTTGTTCTTTTTTTCCTTAGCGGTGTATCTCGAACATGTTGCCATGTCTAGTTCTGCTAATTTATAGTGTTCAGGTGGGAAGACACAAACTGCACAGTTTGCCCTCTGTGCTCTCACTCAGCAGCACTTACTGCAGAAGACAGACTACTAACTGCAGAGCGGGGCTTGTCCCCACAAGCAAGCAAGCCAGCAGTTCTTCAGCGGACACCAGTGGGGCGTCCTCCATTTCAATTCAAACATTATCTACTTAGAAATAGCTTCAGATTGCACAGGGTAAGGGCTCAGTCCCCAGGACTGCCCCCCACTTCAGATGACAGTCACAAGCCCAGGCCTCTAGAACTTCCGACTAACCAGCTGTAAACAGTGTTCCCACAACCCCTTCCTTGGGTTTGATGAGTTTGCTTGAGCGGCTCACAGAACTCAGTGAAGCAGGTACTTAACGTTTACTGGTTTATTATAAAGGATATTACAAAGGATACAGATGAAGAGATGTATAGGGAGAGGTGTGGGGAAGGGGTATGGAGCCCTCCAGGAACCTTCCAGTGTTCAGCTATACAGAAGCTCTGTGAACCCAGGAGGCTTCATTATATAGGCATGATTGATTACAGCACTGGCCACTGGTGATCAACTTAACCTTCAGTCCCTCTCCTCTCCCAGGTGGTTGGGAGGTGGGACTGAAAGTCCTGCCTTGGTCTTTCCTGTGACCAGCCCCCATCCTGAAGCCACCCCTAGAGGCTGCCATCCATCATTCGTATATGAAATGACTCTTATCACTGTGGAGATTCTAAGTATTTTAGGAGTTGTATGTCAGGAGAAGGGTTTGAAGACCAATAGATATTTTCACAGTATCACAGCTATGATTTCATTGTATGAATACAATGTAATTTGTTGATGGTCTGTAAATCCTGAAACTTGATGCTCATCTTGGGTTTGAAGACCAATAGATATTTTCACAGTATCACAGCTATGATTTCATTGTATGAATACACTGTAATTTGTTGATGGTCTGTAAATCCTGAAACTTGATGCTCATCTCCCTTTAGAACTCCCATCAGTAGTGCCCATCAGCACTCTCTTCCTTCCATACTCTTAAATTGTTTTATCTTGGCCACTCTGAGGTCCAAACAGTGAGATCCTTTTTCCTTGCAGGCATGGAAACCACTTGTAGTCCTCTGGATTTGAGGTGTGGAAAGAGACAAATCTCAGAAGCAGTAGGAAGTGGGAATTGATAGAACTGATGATGGTATGTGTCTGTATTGGGTACCATTGCATCTCACCCCTCCCCGTACTGCTGTGTGCTCTCAGGGTCAGTCCCAGATGCCCACCAGGCCTCATGTGCCCTGAGCCTACTTGTCTCTGCAGCCTCCCCTCTAGTTTCTCTTGCTTCTCACTCTTCTCAGCCCCCGGCCTACTTTTCCCTCCTGGAGTGCTCGAGTCCATTTCCAGCCCAGAGCATTTGTTTCTGTTCTTCCTCCTGCCTTGACTGCTCTTTGTACAGCCGACTTCTCCCATTTTCAGCAGGAAATGTGGCCATTCCCTCTTCAGAGAGGCTTCCCCTTTTCACTTTTGTCCTCTACAGTCATGTGCTGCTCCCTTCCTCATCATCTTCTAATTATCTTTGTTTGTCTTTCTCTTCTTGTTCACTGCTCCGTCCACAGTGCCTAGCGCTTAGCAGATACCAATACATTTTGTTTGAGTAAATCAACAGTATTGAATAGTGTTGAGTGATCCAGAGTTGAGAGGAATAGAAACTGCTCTGTGTTGTTCATGGTGGCAGTAAGAAGTCCAGTAGGGCAAATTGATCAGTTTCTCAGCAGACTTGCTCAGCAGTGGAGCGGGTGCCTTCCTTGTGGGAGTAGTCAAGCAGTGACTTGATGTCGTTGAAACGGTTCTTGCACTGGATGTTGGGGTTGGCTAGAACATTCCTAAGGCCCCTTCCAACCTTAACACTGTGGGCTGAGTGTTCTCATCTGTGCAGTCTTATCATTCTTGTTTCAACTGCAGATATGATTGTCACCACTAGATGGCACTAGATGATTCATTTGCCGTCAATGTTTATAAACTGCCATCCACAGTGAGAAAATACATTTTTCATTGCACTTATACCCCAAATGTACACTTGAAACATAATTTTCATGAAGTGGTCTTAACCCTTACTATGTGTACTGCAGACTTATATTTTCTATGCAACCTATTAGACTGAGTTTATGATATTAATGGGTCACAATTCACTGTAAAACACTATTTTAGAGAACTGAACAAGTTTACTGTTATAAAACTGTGGGTCTGCTGTTTTCTTTTGACAGTCTGGGTTATAGCACATTGTCTCTGTTAGTATTTTGCATGTTTCTGTGATGACTTGCTGCACTTATATGTGCTTCCTTATGGGTGTTTATGCACATGCAAACATGGAAGAGAGGGACTGTGGGAGGCATGTTTGTACAGAATTCAGCACCTAATGTAGTCAAGGCAGAAGGAAGCCTTGTTGGTAGATATAAATAAAAGATGTATTATCTGCTTCTGGGAGCTTGAAATCTAGCTGGGAGACCTAACACACACACACACCCTCAAATTTCAGCTTACTTATCAAGCAACATGGAAATGGGCGTATTACTCAGGGTATCAGTTAGGATGCTTTAGGCTGCAATTAACAGAAGCATGACTTAAGTTGACTTAAACGGTAAAGACATTTACTATCTTACAAAATATATGTTAAGAGGTAGAGCAGGCTCTAGGCCCACAGGCACTTGGCATGGCCTTAGGGACTCAGGTTCTTTTCATGACTTCTCAGTTATCCTAAGGCTGGTTCTACTCATGGTTGCTAGAAGGCTTCTAGTGACAATGGGAGCCCCCAGGCTTGGAACACTAAAACTTTACCTCCTTGTAGGGTACACCAGGTTAGAGAGGATCTAGGCTACCACAGCATTTTCCAAGTTGTAGTTGTTTATTTGTTTCTGGTTTCCCCAGCGTGACCTCTAAGGTAAGTGAAATAATTGGCTCCTAATACAGAATTGGGAGAAATACATAGGTAGTAATTAGTGGTGTCTATGGGTCTGCCAAGTATTTCTGGACACAGAGCCTTTGGGTTAGTAGCAGTGGCTGACTAGCTGTGGCCAATGTGTTTGCTGAGTGAATAAATGGTTGCACATCTCCCGTGTGAAGTGCGAAGTGAGGATATTTGCTGTGTAGAGTCCTGGGAAGGGCATTAGAAACATGAGGAGAGAGAAGTGAGAAATGAGCGCTGTGGGAAGCAGAATGAGCCGTCATGTGACTGTGAAGGTGGATGGGTGAGTCTAAGTTAGTGGTGGGGCACTAACTGTGCATTTGTTGACCTTTTGAGGTGGATGGTTTTCCTCTGGATCTGGTTCCTGGGAACTTGGCAGTGGAACCTTGGCCTGAGCCTACTAATCTGTACTCACCTGCCTCCTTTTTCACCCCTTTAGGTTTGCAGTAAGCATTGGCTACTGGCATGACCCTTACATCGAGCACTTTGTGAGACTGTCGAAAGAGAGGAAGGCCCCTGAAATTAACAGAGGCAAGTGACCATCTCCCTCCTCAACATCTCATCTGCTGAGAGGCCTGAGGCTTGAGGGATTCATTATCAAAGGGAGTGCCAGTATGCACTCTTTCCAACAGCATATGAAAGTGCGTATTTCCCAACATCCTCACCAACAGTATACTGGGAAGCTTTTCAATCTTTGCTAACCGCCTGAGGCTTGAGGGATTCATTATCAAAGGGAGTGCCAGTATGCACTCTTTCCAACAGCATGTGAAAGTGCGTATTTCCCAACATCCTCACCAACAGTATACTGGGAAGCTTTTCAGTCTTTGCTAACATGATACATGAATGTGCTATCTTCTTGTAATGTTATTTCATATTCCTCTTACTTATGGATGAGGTGGAGCATCATTTTCTCATGTTTAAAACCGTCTGTATATCTTCTACTGTGAACTGTCTGTTCCGGTTAGGGATCATGTTTTGTTGCCTTCTTATAGTGTGAGTTATTAATACTATTAGGGTCTGCAAGTAATATCCCTCAAGGAAGTCAAAGGATTTGAGGCAGGAGCATTACTTATTCTCAGGTAAACTGAGAAATTGATCAAATAACCATAATTCTTGTGTGTGGGGGAATCTTGGCCCTGAAGAGGGATGCTGTGGGTAGGTTCCCTTAGGAATACAAAGAAACATTAAAGTGCAAGTTCCTGAGGACGAGGATGTTTTCTTTTACTTTGCACTCCCTCCTGTGCTTTTGGGGCAGACTTACTAACAAATGCTGCAGAGACAGGGACTCCTCATGGAGCCTGATTCAATGACCCACCTGCACCTGTCCCCCGGCCCTCCAGGGTCCCCAGCAGCATGTCCACCTTTCTTCCTTCCTTCTTCCTTTCCCTGGGCTTGAACCTCTAGATTGGGGACCTACAATCCAACAGGAAAGTGCTTCCCAAACTGTGTGGTGAGGAATTCTTTTTTACAATATACAATTCTTTGTGGATGATATTTTTGTAAAATACAGTAAAAATGACTTACTAGAAAATAACATGAAAAAGACATACAAAATATTGTCCTAAATGATTTATTAGTAGATTCAACAGACATAAAGTTCTTGTGTCAAGGGCCGAGCCCGTGGCGCACTCGGGAGAGTGCGGTGCTGGGAGCACAGCAGCGCTCCCGCCGCGAGTTCGGATCCTATATAGGAGTGACCGGTGCACTCACGGCGCTCACCGGCTGAGCGCGGTGCGGCCAGTCTCAAAAAGGACCAAAAAAAAAAAAGTTCTTGTGTCAAATCACGATAAATGGCTGGCCAGTTAGCTCACTTGGTTACAAGCGCAGTGCTGATAACACACAGTCAATGGTTTGGATCCCCGCACCAGTCAGCCACCAAAAGAAGAAAATTTGCAATAAAAGTTTCTAAATGCTACTGTCAAATTTTGTTCTTAAAATAGTCACGTACTGTTAATAAATACACCCACTGGTGGAGTAGTAGATGGTTAGACCGGCAACGGGATCGCAACCCTCGGTGTTGCTCCCGCACCTCGCTCAGCCAGTGAGCGGGAACCGGTCTGTATGTGGGATCTGAACCCTCGGCGGGAGCGCCACCAAGCTCCCAAGCGGCGCACTGTAGCAGTGCGCCACCGGGCCGGCCCTACATTTAATTTTTTGAAGATGTCGCCCTGGCTCAAAATTTTGAAAAATACATTAAAAGGTGTGCAGTGACAACCTGTCTCCCACCCATCCCCGCTGCCTGGGCGCACCCTACGATCACCATCAGTCCCATATTTAGTCTCACCCAGGCCCTAGATCTTTTAGGTTTTTTCTAATATTTGTGGTTACAAACAGGGTTATAGTAAAAATCCTTGTGTGTATTTCCCTGTGCATGTGTGGAAATACATCAGGAGGAAAAATTCCACCAGTAGAATTGCCTGAACCAAGAGCCCGTGCATTTGTCATTTTGATAACCAAGATTTTATTGTTGGCATAATGGCATCTTAGGGAAAATTGAGAGATTTGCAAGACTGGGTGATGATACTATGATGTAAAATCCTTTTGTAGTCATTCTCTGATTTGATTCCTTAACTGCCTTATTAGGGTATGAGTGTAGGTATAATTACACTCACTCCTGGGGAAGGAGACTTGGGTCTAGGTGGTGGCAGAACAAGGACTAAAGTGCTGTCTTTGAATCCTGGACAGGGTTTTTTAGGGCCACACTTTTTCCTACAAAGTCCTCACTGATTGCATTTATTTTTTATAGGTTTGTACGGATTTTGCTTCTTTCTTCTATCAGGTCAGTCGTGTGGCAGTAATGGGTACGTGCATTTCCCCAAATTTCTTGCAGACGTAGGCCAGGATAGAGTGTATGGTTATAACCCGCCTGCAGATCTTTTTTTTTTTTTCCTGGTCTGCTCACCCAATAAGAAGGTGTGTGATCATCACAGTTCCCAACCTTTCTCTTACTCAGGTGAGGAAACAGTGGCCTCTATACAGGCTTGATGTTCATCATTTGCCTCTGCATTCTTCTTTCAAGATAAGAGAACTGACATTTGTGAAGTGCTTTTACATGCATGACCTCATGAATCAACCTGAGAGTTCTGTGAGGGGTTTTGCACAGATGGGAAAGTGGGGCTGCAAAAGGTTCTGCTTCCAGGGTTGTACAACCAGTGGCATTGGAACGGGGAGCAAACATTGGGACCAGCTCATCCAACTCCAAATTTTTTCCTCTTTCCTCTGCACATACTAACCACGTCACTATACTTCTCTGTAACAGAAAAATAATTCCAAAATAAGACTCACCCTTTATACATGTGGTGCTTTCTGATATTATCTGCTTTATTCTGTTTCATCTCACAAAATCTTGGTCAAAACCCACTACGTTGATTTCCTGACCCTCTGTAACAGGTCTCAAGCTGCTTTTTGAAAACTGCTGTGCGTTTCCTACTTCCAAAGTGCCTTTCACTCCGCATCTCCCTCATGGCTGCTGCCCCCAGTTCAGGCTCTCCACACACCTTCTTACCTGGACGATTATAGTGGCCTCTTAGCTTTTATCCTCCACCCATTCTTGCTTCCCTCAAATCTATTCTTCATGCTGAGAACAAAGCAATTTGAAAAATACATTTCTGACCACATCATTTCCCTGATTTGAAATCTTTAAATATCTCCTTGCTCTTATGCACCTAGTGCTTAGTACATGGAAGATGATCGGTAAATATGTGAGTGAAGAAATAGTTATAAAGACTGATTGTGTGTTTTTCCCAGGATGAAGATCTTCTCCCAAGTAAATATTTTGAAATCGACTTTCCAATGATAGTCACGCGAAAGCTGCACAATATCAAGTAAGTGTGGCTTCAGTCAGAGGAAAAGAGCCAGGTAGAACCGGGTAGAATTCAGACCCAGCACTCAACAGATGGTGGGTCTGAGTGCTGGAGGCCTCATTTTAGGGCACTGCTTTCCTTTGACACCCCCCTCCTTTCTCACCCCAGGACCCTCATTTCAGCATGTTGTGCAATCTTCAAAATGCAGTATCCAATTCCTTGTGACACTTTTATCCATTAATGTAATTTCTCTGAACATTTAAAAGATGACTTATCATAGTTTAATAATCTGAATTTTTATGTGTGTTTTGTTTACTGCTTTATCCACAGGGCATAGAAAGTTATCTGGCCCAGAATAGTAGTGCAGTAAATGTTTTTTTGTGTGATTGAAAGAATGGAAGACTGAATTTAGTTATTATATATGAGATATTATGGGAGCCATTCTGAGTCCAGTATTCAAGGAATTTGCAAAGTTGTAAAGGACAAGTTTGCTAATGTTTGATGAGAGCTTTTTTCTGCCTAGGACCATGTTAAATTGCTTCACTTGGTTTGCCTCACTCAGTCCTCATGACAGACTCGTGAATTAAGTGCTGGTATTATCCCCCTTTTTTGCAGATAAGGAAACAGGCTCAAAGAAGTTAATTTGCTCAAGGTTACCTAGCTAGGAAGGGGTCGAGCTGAATTTTAAACCTTGACATCAAGCCCAAGGTCAAGATTTTTTAATAGTTTTAACTATGTTCCCTACCCCCTTTAGTCGTTTAAATAAAATCCTTATTCTTATATTTAAAAAATTTTTAACAAACAAAAAGTTTCAACTTGTCTGTTAGAGATGTCTAATCATTACAGACTGGAAATTTTTTTAAGCTTTATTTTTTTATAGTTTGTTCTATGAAAATGTTTTTTACCCTTTCCTAATATAAAATTATATTTTATATAAAATATGCCTTTTAAATGATAAATGGCAATTCTGATGCTCTGGCAATTGCAAAGTACTAGTTAGCTGGTTAGAACTCTGAGTGAGATAAGAGCAAAGCCCAGAGATGGTTTCTTGAGATGAAAAATGTTTGTGTATAGTTGTTGGGATATTGAATTTAGTTCTCTGATTTTTGAAATTTTACATATTCTGGATTGGGGGAATTAGCACATAAATGTTCTGAACTTTAGGTTTCTGTAAGAGTCAATTCTTTTGGTGAGTTATGATAAATTATAGCCATCTTCAAAATCTTGTTTCAGAATAGGCAAGAAACTAGAGGTGGCCGAGAAAACACTGGAACACTTGGAATATTCTTATAGTCTGTCTTTAGTTATTTCTGCATCTAAGTACTTCAGGATCAGTTTGTGATTTGGACATCAAATGCGCAGCTGTCTTAACTTGAGACCTGTATCCACTGGATTTTTACAGTATGTGCCTAGGGTCAAATGTAGTTAACCAGAGGCCTTTTGGAGTGGCCCTTGCTTTGAACAGTAGCGATACGTTCTTGGCATTTCTTGTATTTGGCATTTCTGTAGCGGGTGTCTGCATTTTTGCAGTAAGTGAGCTCATGAGTAAATTGACTCATCTTTCTCCTCTTTCCCATCTTCCCATAGAAACAAGCCTCTCCTATCAAACCCCATTATAGAATTAGATTCAGAGGACACACTTCATATGGGCAAGTATCCTTAACCAAGTAATGCAGTCTGTACTGAATGTGTTTTTGCCTTTTTCCCATTTCTCTTCTTTTTAAAGATGGTGTGTGTGTGTATGTTTAGTGTGTTAAATACAATGTGTACGTCTGCTGCTGTATTTACACTTGTGTCGAGGTTACCATGAAGGAATTTAAAACAGCTTTCTGTGTGACTCTTCTTAGTTGTCCTTAGGTCTCCTATCTTACATCTTTTTTTGAAGAATTTGACTTAGTTGCCAACATTTCAAAAATAGATTTCTCGTGAAATCTCCATATCCAGCTTTCCGTGGAAAAATCAGAAGATGTGGCAACAGTATCCCCTAATTCTCACATGCAGCAGTTGAGCAGTGGAGACTGTGTTTAGAGGAGCACTGTGTTCTCCAGTTTTGCCCCCGCCACTCTCTCGTCTTTCACCTCCCCTGCTTCTCTCAGTGACACTACCTGCTTGCCCTTGCAGTTTTTCTCTTCACTTTTAATTATGGATGTTGCTGACAAAAGCTTTCTCATTTCTGAGCCTTGCCAATTATGGGAAATCTCTACTGGAATCTTCCATTGTTTTCCATGTTTGTCTGACGGAGACGTTCCAGGGATTTATTAGTCACTCAGGTCAGAAAGCATGCTCAGAGAGGACGGCTTTCTCAGATGTAAGCACAGATAACCCAGTAAACATCAGGCAGCTGGATAAGCCTCTTTTTATGTCCATCTGTAATACTTCAGCCATTCTCCTAGTGACTGGAGTCCCAACAAAGTGTCCACAGAAATGATCTCCCCCAACCTTTGTTTCCTCATAGAAACTGGAAGTAGCACTTCTTCAAGCTTTGCCATGTGCTGGATTATTTGCCTTCTCCACACTTTAGTTGTTACAGTTTTCTGTATATTGGGTTAATATTTGTGTTGGAATAGTGATGTGTAATGAAAGATCTAGTTCTTTGCATCACCTTTGATGAAACAATGTAGAAATATATGCAGCAGAAAATAAAGGTCCTCCATTATCCCACCCCCACCCCAAGATAACCAGTATTCACAGTGTTTTCTAGCTATCTAGATATGGGTAAATAGATACACGTAGAACTATTCCAGTGCCTGGCACATAAAAGTCAATAAATTTTTGTTGAATGAAAGTCCATACACATTGAATATATGTGGTAGTTCAATATTTATTTGTTGAATGAATGAGTTTGTACTTCTATGTATACATATAGATTTTTAATGTAATTTTAATGAACAGTGAATAATTTACTCATGCTATTTTGTGACTTATTTTGTTCATGTCCTAGTAAATCATGGCACCCTTTTCATGTCAGCCCATATAGACCTGCCTCATTATTTTTAGTGGCTTTCTAGTACTCCTTTGCATGGAAATCCCATTTTATTTAATCTGTTCCCTACTCATGGTCATTTAGATTGCTGCCTTTTTAATGTTTTTATATTAAGTTATGTAGCAAATAGATGTATATGTGCATATTTGCAGGAATTGCTAGTTCAAAGAATTGCACAGTATGAATTCTAACAGTTACTGCCCAACTTCTTTTCAAGTCTCTTTTTACTAATTTATATTTTCACTAGCATGGGTGAGGATTTTCTTTCCCTACACCCTCATTAACACTGGGTTTTATAATTAAAAAAAAAATTTTAACAATCTGATAGGCTGAAATTATGCCCTATTATTTAAAAAATGTATATGAGTTTGAATGCTAGTGAGATGGAGTGTCTTTCCTTACTTTTATTGGCCTTTGGGATGTCATAATTTTTTTTTTATTTCCTTTGTCCATTTTTTGCAGTTGTGTTGATTCCTTTTCTTTTCAGTTTACAGGAGTCCTTTATAACATGCAGATGGGCTCTTTGATAAAGGTCCCTTTCAACTTATTTTTATTTCAGATTTTATTTTAGTCTTTTATTTATCTTTTAACTTTGTGTCTCATGTAGGCAGATTTTTTAGTCTGGTCCTTATAGTTTTTGATCTTGCTGTCATACTGAGAAAGGAGAATTTGAATAAATATTAATAAAATAAAAACATGAATTAAACT